AACAAAAGGCAGAACTGTGACAGATTTAAACATTGCTGCTTTAAACATTCATTTCTAGAAATTCCTTAATTGGCCAGCAGAAGGCACCAAAGTTCAGTTCTGCATTAATATTTCAAATACAGAAAATAAATATTTTCTTGAACAAAAAATATGCTTTTTTAATACACTTTATGTTACGATAAATAAGAGCACTTTCCTTCCATCAAACGTGAAAATATCAGCTCTAACACTTTACAAATGACTATATTCCACAATGTTCCAAGTATTGGTTTTGTAACAGCTCTACTCCCTCCCTCCTTCTTTCTCTCAGATGTACATTCAGAAAAGCTCCTTATCTTATTTGAGCAGTTGCTTTAGGTATTTCTGCAAACTCCGTGAGGCTGGAATTATAAATCACGGTGAAACAAGATGGCAATCAGAGCGTATTGTTGCACAGAAGACTAATGAAGGCGCCCACCCTGCTAAATGACCTGGAGATGTGCACAGATAGTGACTCCCCACAGTCAGGGAGACGCGATACACTAGATCTAACTCCGGCCTCCCATGATGCACTGGGGCCTGGCCTGGGCGAGATAAAGCCACAAAGGCAAACCAATAGACTCTTTTGTCTGTTTGTGCCATTACAGGAATGCAAGCTGATTTTCTGCTCGGGATAAAGTGTGTGCAAGATTCCCAGGGGTAAGGCAAGCCTAAAGGCAATACAGAAAATAGCACTGGGGCCAATCATGTGCAAATCTTATATTTTCTTATCCAACATGATTCTAAAAAGTGTACCACGTGTGATTGTATTGACATAGAAATGCTGGTCCCAGGTCCTCCTGCATTTGACCAGAAAGTAGACAGGTTGGATCGCCAGGCTATAGTTTAGAATGTAACTTAAAGGTCCTATATTACACAGTATCGATTCTTGTGAGCTTTAAGTTATGTTAGAATGCTATTACCTCCTCAAAAACATACCTGGGCATGTTTGAGTAACCTTTTTTTTAGTCTGTCAGCATCTGCAAAGCTCAAAATGCCCTGTTCCACCTTGTGATGTCATGCACCGTTCAGTTCACCAGAGATTACAAATTCCAATTCCAGATCTGCAATCACGTGAATATTCTATGGAAGTGTGTGTTTTTGTGTGTGTGAGAAACTGTCAAAATACTCAGGCTTTGTGCGTTAAACATGCGTGAATGAAACAAAACACAACTCCTGTTATGTGTGTGATGAGGAAACAACATGATAACATAAATCAGAAAAGAGCATAATGTGACAGCTCCATGGTTCTGTTCTATCAAACAAAGCCTAAGATATGGTTGCCTGATATTTACATGTAATTGGATCCTGACTTTATTTACATTTTACACAGTTTTTGAGTCTGTACCTCCTCTCTGTGGCATAAATTACTCTTGTTGTACTTCCAAGGACCTCATCGTGATCAAAGGAGCCAGTTTGTTTGAAGAATGGAGTGTTCAGAATATTTTAGCTTAACCAGAGATTCCCCTCTCAGCAGTTTGCCGGTGTCCCACGCCCACTTTCCTTCAGAGACTACTATTTTCATCAACAATATATACATTTAACCATACAGGGCGACAGACACAGCCTCGTACCATATTTGCATTGTCTCCAATTAAAACATGTTATGGTTTTACCTCTTATTTTGTGATCATTTGTGGATCCTCATTTTACATTTTGGTCATTGTAAACTACCATAATGATCTAAAAGCACTTGTCCACACTTATTTTATTTTTTTATTATTTTAAAATTTTTCTTTTATGAGGATACAACATTTTAAAAAATCTGTCATCTCTCCTTTTCTCTCTTTTTACGAGTTAGGGAAACTGACATTTTCTGAGCTTCTGAGCACTCCAGCCTCTAATAGCAGACAATTTCTCAATGTGGATGAATCAAGCTTGTTTTTTGTTTATTTTTGTATTTATTTTTTATTTCAGTTTTTTTTTTTTCACTTTATTTTTTATTTATTTTTTAATGGTGACACAAGTTTTTTTTTTTTTTTTTTTTTTTTTTTATTTCTTTTAAATTTTGTCTTTGTAATTTTTTTATTTTATTTTATTTTTTTCAATAGTAATACAACATTCTTGAACATCTGTTCTCTCGCTATCTCTTTTTTACAGGTTAGGAAAACTGAAATTTTCAGAGCACTTCAGCCTCTAATGGAGGACAATTACTCAACATGCATGAATCAAGCTTGTGATGAGGGAAAACCACTGTGTTTGCTTAAAATTTTAAGTTGTTTTTGCACATGCCAATTTTAAAAATGGAAAAAAATAAATTACTTAAGTACTTAATAAAAACTTAAATTACTTAAATACTTCATTTGGAAGAATCAGTGTAAGTTTTTTGTTAAAGGTCCTATATTACATGATGGATTCAACATTTATATTAATCTCACTGTGTATGTAATGGTAATGTAATATTCACTTTTGGTTACTTAATCTTATTATAATCAATGTATCAATATGTGTACTTAAACAATTCTGTTTCTGAGTATTGCAGATTTCATGAGTTGCAGAAGGTCATGAAGTCCTATCTGTTCAATAACAGGAAACATCTTGGGCGACCATTGCTTAAGGAGGATAAACTAAGGAGGATGAAATGAGGAAGGGCAGACTGACCTTAACTCACTGTACTGAAGTGTTATTTTTGTGTTTCCTGTAAGCAAAAAAGGAACTACTCCTTTAATGTTTAATGTTTTGCATGTTCCCCCTCCCGTTCTGAGATGAGTAGTTCCCATTGTAACTAGGGGTCCTAATATTGAATAAAAGGCGTGGAGAAACGAGAGAAGGCTTTAGAGAGTATTGGGTGAACAACTAGTTACATGTAACTAAAGTTCTTCTCTCGGTACTCCCTCCACGCGTGTAAAAGATATTAATCTCTTGTCTTCTCTCTTGTTATTGAATATTGAGTATAGGTAAAGGTGAACCTATCATTACACAAAATGTATTTATGAGCTTTAAGTCATGTTATAATGTTGTTACCCAAACATACCCAGAGTTGTGTTTTGTTTCATTCACACATGTTTGAGTAACCCTTTATTAGTCTTTATTAGTCTGTTTATAATCCCAAAGCTCAAAATGCTCTGTTCTACCTTGTGATGTCATGAAGCGATAGTTAACAGCTACCTTTCACCTTTTGTTCAGTAGAGATTGACAATTCTAGAACTGAAATTATCCAAATTATTCCAGTGAAGTGTGTGGAGTTTGAAAATACTGTGGAGCACTTTCTATATTACCACATGACATCACACGGTGGAACAGAGTGTTTTCTGTTTGAGAGAATAACTCAAGCCAAAATATGCAGGATCTGTGTGTTAAACACTCCAGATATGTTGGTGATGAGGAAAAAACATTGTAACATAGATCAGACAATTGTGTAATATGGGTCCTTTAACCTTACAGCTAGAGTTACTCATGTGTATATATTATACTGCTGCCACTACAGTTTCAAGTATTATTTCTACCAGGTGTTTTATGCCAGTCACACTTCTAGTTCAATGAATCAAGCAATCGCTCCCATTTTTGCCGCTACTGCTAGATGCTAGATGTACTGTAAAGTTTGTAAATGTGTTCACAGTTAAGAATTAAAAATATATTAACATCTTGGCTTCGTCTTGAATACAACATATGGCTCAGTTTCCACGATGAGCATATATGTGCCACAGTCCACTGGGGTATGGATGTTCTAATATTTTGCTTCTTTTTTTTTTTTTTTTTTTTTTTTTTTTATTCTTGTAGCATTTGGTTGGAGCAGATTGGGTGATAACATTTATGTAGTGGACCAACTGATTACCCATGCGTTTAATGTCCAGTGATGGCTGTGACTATGGCCTCATGTAGTCTGCCAATGCAAATGATATGACAGCCCACGTTTGCAATAAAACTGGTTCCACAAAAACAATCATAGCTCTGGGAAAGAGCCAAGAGACAGTCAAAACAAGATACCACACAAACACAACTTTTCTCCAACTTAGTCAGAACTTACATTTTAAAGTGGCCATGTCATTCTATTTTCTGATCTATGTTATAATGTTGTTTTCTCCTCACAAACATGATCACAGAGTTTTGTTTCATTCACACATTTTTAACACAACCCCTGGATTACTCAAATGTGTGAAAAGACACACACACACACACTAATTTTCTGGATTAAAATATCTAAAACAATGCAAATTCTCCCACCTTTTCATTACTGATGGCTGCCAATTATGTATGCAGTGGCTACGGGGCAGTTCTTTTGTAAAGTTCAGTGGTCTGCTATGGGCCGTAAACTCTATTAGCTCAGACAAGAAAACAAGATTAGTGGATTCGTCAAACAGGCACATTTGGGAGAGTGTGAAATTAGAATGAGCAAAGAAACAGTCAAAGCGTTTACATGCACAAAGAAGTCAGAATTAAAGTCATCCTCACCCCAAAATCAGTCAAATGCATCTCAGATCAAATGCATTGCAGATCAAAGAAGCCAACAGGGGCGAAAGGCATAAGCACTACAATATTGCAGCTACTAATAAAACTGCTAATAAAAACAGCTACCATACATATAACCACACTTTTGACAAGAATAGATCATTTACATTGAGCATTTTATTTTCAGATATTCATTAAAGTTTGCTCTCCATGCGGTGGTTTTGCGAAGTTAGACACAGTAGACAGTGTGTTCGGCCTATAAAAGATTCAATCAGTTTGTGCACAAGTGTGGGGTATATTGAGTTGAGCTGGGGTTGGGTCGGAAAGAGGCTTTAGAGGTGTGGCTTCAACTTTAGGGTGAAGATTTTCATCTATCATCCACATCTCTTCTTTGGAAAATTTACACTTACACTTACACACACTAAATACAATCACATTTTATGTTTCAAATTCCATACAAAGTGTGCTTGTTTTCATGGGTTTGGGATTTGTGCACTAATTTAGAGAATGTCTGTATCCTCCTGCACGATCCTCCTGTGTTTCCTTTGTACCTTTACATGGCTCACGCAGATCCGGTCATGTGACCGTATTCAGCCAATCACAAGCTAGAGCTACTATTCAACCAGTGTACCCTCTCCGTTCACAAGTGTAGGGGAAAAAAGGACGCTCAGGGCTTTATTATTGACCTTTGGGGCTGACCACGGGCACAGTGGGAGTTTGACTGACATCCTCCTCAGATTTATCAAGTGAGTTTGGTGAGTGTTTATTCACAGAGATGCTAACGTTCTAAGCTAGCGTTAGCATTAGCATAAGGAAGCTAACTCTTGTTGTTGTTGTAGTGTGCTGTTGTCTTTGGAGGTTTGCAAATCCTCCTCCCTGTATCCTGCCTGTGGAACACAGCCTGTCCCTCACAGACCGCTGTGTGTGTGAGTGCAGCAGTGAGCAGTGGGGAAGGAGAGCTGCACACTGACTGTTACTCCCACACATGCTAACAGCCTTTGTTCTTTTGCATGAACCACAACTCTGTGGATATGAGCACAACTGAGTGCACACAGCCCTGTGAGGTGTCACGTCAGTCTCACTTTGGAACAGCTCCTAATGTTTGGAGCTATGTATTGCTTTATTGATTAATTAGTATTGTTAGCATAGCCACTGCTACATACTAATAGCACATGAATAGCTGCTTACAAAAGCAACTCACTGTACAAAGTGATAACAGAGTGGTAACAGGGTCATTCATATTTTATTCTTTATTGTGATTTACTATGAACAAAATAAAAAGAGTTCAGGGCCTATGAACTGTTGTCAGTTGTGCTGATGAAAAGCTTTGGAGGTTTCACATTCAATCTACATCAGATTATGTTGTTCAGATGCCACCTCCCAGCAAGAGAAGTAAGGCTGCTAAACTGCGCAGACAGGCTCAACTTCTGCGTAAGCTTAACAAGCCTGTAGAGAAGCCTGTGGAGGAGACTGTGGAGGAGACTGTGGAGGAGCCCGTGGAGAAGCCTGTGGAGAAGACTGTAGAGGAGACTGTAGAGGAGACTGTAGAGGAGCCTGTGGAGGAGCCTCTGGAGAAGACTGTGCAGAAGATTGTGGAGAAGCTCATAGCTGAAGAACAGGTGGGTGCTTTTGTTTTCAGCATCAGAAACTAGCATGGATATGGATGGACTAACATGGAACTTTCTAATGTCTTGTGTTATACAGACTGATGTCGAGGAAACATCTGAGAAGATAGAACTTTTCCAAATTCCGATAGAGAATGAGGTTTGTTGTGTATTTAGTGGCATTTCATATTTAGTGTAAGTTCCTATATTACACAAAATTGACTTTTGAGAGTTTTAAGCTATGTTATAATGTTACATCATCAAAAAACATACATGGAGTTGTGTTTTGTTTCATTCACACATTTAACACACAAACCTGCATACTGAGACTGAGTTCTTCTGTCAAACTGAAAACACTCCACCTTGTGGTGCAGCATGCAGTTATTTAATATATATATAATATATACACAATATATACACAATGGAAAAAAAAACACAATGGAGCACTTGCTGTATTGCCACATGACATCACAAGGTGAAACAGAGTGTTTTCTGTTTGAGAGATGAACTCCTAAATACAGCCTATGAAACGAATTAATGAAACAAAACACAACAAAACAAAATTATGTTTGTGATGAGGACAACATTAGATAATATATAGATCAGAAAATAGTGTAATATAGCCACTTTAAATGTTAGATATTTGCTAATTGTCTAATGTTTCTTTCTTATCCATGTAGTTTGCCATGTGCTCAGAGGATCTGGACCATCTTCTTGCATACAGTCAGTAAATATATTGTAAAAAGAAGTGTAAATAAATGTCATTTATAAATCCTCTCCTGTGTCCTTCTTGAAAGTCCGACCAAACCCAATCACTTTGCTCTCTGATAGGTTTCTTGTCTTATATTACACACTTGTGAGCTTTAAGATTTGTTAGAATGTTGTTTTCTCATCAAAAGCATACCTGGAGCTGTGTTTTGTTTCATTCACACATTTGAATAATCCATTATTATTTGTCTGTCTATATCACTAAAAATGCTCTGTTCCACCTTGTGATGTCATGAAACTCGAGTTTTCAAGTTAACGACTACCTTTTACCTTTTGTTTAAAAGAGTTTCACAAGGGCTTAGCCAAATGATTCTAATGAAGGTGGATAAACTTTATAAACACAGTGGAGCACTTCCTGTATTATCACATGACATCACAAGGTGGACCGGAGTGTTTTCTATCTGAGAGAAAAACCCAGCCTAAATGCGTAGGATTTGTGTGATAACGTGTGAATAAAACAAAACACATCTCCAGATATGTTTTTAATGAGGGAACAATATAACAAAGATCAGAAAATAGCTGCCGTACTAACTGAATATTTGTTTATCAATACAGTGGATGTGTGTGCAGCCTGAGTACAGAGCTCCGCTGTCTGTGCAGTTAAAATGAAGTTGCAACACTAGCTGGCCCTGTTGTCAGCGCACTAAAACAGTTTATCACTGTGTAATAAAATAAGTTATGATGCTGAATAAACATTAGTGAGCTGGATACATCTTAAAACCCGTATGAATTAAATGCATAAATGAAGAGAAGAAACATCTCAAACTTTAGTAGACGGACATCCACTCATACCTGATCAATACTACTAGCCCTGCCCCCAAAAGACTCTGAAATCTGCTGAAATTCTACAAGACACTGACATAATACCACAAAGGAGAGCAGCTCTTTCTGTAGGAGACATGCGTAGAGCACAAAATGACGTAGTCTGATAATTCTGTCGTTTTACTGCCATGTTACAGACACTGTTTGGAAAAAAGCATATACAAGTATATAGTATAAAGTATTTATATATGTATTATTATTTTTTCTGTGTATCATCTTTCTGTGTAAATATCTCAAGTTACAACATGGACACCTACAGCTTATAGACACGTGTGGCCTATATATGTACTCTTGTTTTGTTTTTTTCTTTTAAAATTGAGTTGAGTTTATTCAGGTGCACTCAATAGTCCGGAAATAACGGTAATATGAGCCCTTTAATAGAAAACTTATTGGTACAATCAGTATTAGATCAAAACTAAAACCATAACCTAAAATCATCCACTGAGTAGATACTAGGAAAACATATAATTAGATACCTTTCATATGTAATGAATTGTACTGTGAAATCATTCTCAACCTCCAACAGTTCAGTTCTGACTAAAATGATTTGCAGCGATGTTGTTTGTAAGTGATTTATGCAGGCCCCAGGTAATGTACAAACAGTGGTCTATCAAAAGGCCATCATGATCAGACCTGGACCACATTCAAACGGCAGCGCATTATAAATCTATCTCAGCGGAGTATTATGTCATTCATTAGCACAATGATGGAGGAAGGATGGATCTCAGGTTAATTACAGATTAAGAGGCGAGAAGGAGGTGGGGTCATACCTCAGAGGGACACAGCAGAAGCGTGATAAAAGGACCGTTTATCTATACTGTAAGACTATGGAGGAAGAACTCAATAAGATATGATGAAAGGCAGAAAAAAACAAGAATTTGTGTGGTAACAATTCTGGCAAGTTTTCGGAATGTAATGTAAATAAAGTTTTCAGAAATAAAGCCAATTGTCTTTTTACAATAGTACAAATGTTTTACCAAGAAGTAGTTAGTAGTCACAAGGCTAAACATGTACTCACTTACAAGTACTGCCAAATGTGTATGCATAAACAATTCTACTCAAAGTTCTGTTACTTTTTATGTGGTTTTGGCCATTTTAGAACAAGGTTTGTTACACTGTTTAAAGATGTTTAAAGATGGTTCTTGATAGAATATTACCCTCAAAAACATACCCAGAGTTGAGTGTTGTTTCATTCACACGTTTGAGTAATCCTGCATTGTTAGTCTGCCTACACCTCCAAAGCTCATAATGCTCTGTTCCACCTTGTGATGTCATGAAGCGGTAGTTTTCAAGTTAACAGATACTTTATACCTTTAGTTGAGTAGAGAATAACAATTCCAGAGCTGAAATTATCCAAATGATTCTAGTGAAGGTGTATGGTGTTTAAAAGCACAGTGGAGCACTTCCTCTATTAACAGTGTTTTCCATCTGAGAGAAGAACTCAGAACTCTACGTACATTTTTAACACATTATAACATACAGTAGATCAGAAAGTAGCATAGTCCTGGCACTTTAAATGTAGCTAATTACAATTACACTCTCAAATTATTAATCACAAGTAAATGTTCAAAACTCCTCTAAAAAGCACAATTACTCCTAAATCCTTCACTTTTACAGTACTATGAGATAGCCCTGGATGCACCCAGCGTCTTGCAGAGTTCATCAGCATAAACTCCATCAGTCTTTTGTTGTGCTCATTTGTGGTCGCCGCGGTAACTACATGTTAAACAGCTGCAGACACTCGCTGGGTTGTGTGCTTTGGCGATGTGGGGGCACCGCGCGGCCTCTGGCTGTGTTATTGCTCGGCATGGGAGAACCATCATGGCACGCGCTGGAGGCTAATCTCATCTGACACACTGCAGTCGTATGTCATAATTGTATCACTCAGAAGTGCTTGAAAACAAAATCCAGTACTTTTCAGATTTTGCCTGCCCCAAGTTTCTAGTTTTATCTGTGATTTAATTTCTTTGGTTAAACTTGTTACTAAAACCAGTCAATGCGGATTTTAGATGAGAAAATTACTTGTACCAGACGGTGCTGCTTTTGAATAATTTGTAAGGGATAACTCTGGGTGATGAATTTTACATAAAGGTGCGTGGTTTAACTTTTCTGGTGGATGGTCCCTCACCTGCTTGTTTCTATGGATATGCCATTGGTCAGATCTACCTTACATTTATTACGTTTTTATAGTTTTATAGCTCAAAATTGACTGTTAGATCTGTGCCTATCCACATATCTGACCTGTAATATTCCAGACAAAGCAATAGCATCTCCACCAAAAATGTACAAAGAGGAGCTACTACACCTCTATAGGGCAGTGTTCCAAACTTTTTTTCTGGGGACCCATATTTTAAAAGTCACAAATCTTCACGACCCAAGTCAATAGACATTATTCGTAAAGCAGCAAAATCTAATTTGTGACCATTATTGAACATTAATGAGGATATTTTATTGTTGACTGAGTGTTCGTGTCTCTCTGAACAATTAGTATTACTCAGGTTTTAAACAATGAAAATCAGTAATCAGTGTTTCCCACAGAAAATTGGTTAGGCAAGAAGAAGTGAGGAGCGGAGGTGCGTGGAGATGTATATGTATATTACAGACGTACATGCAGACCGTGACAAGGCGACCCAAAAAAAAATCACCCGAGGGTCGCGATCCAGTCTTTAGGAAACAACACTATAGGGTATTAAATTTCCGAATCGGCTGATGAGGGCCCTCGTACTTTTTCTTAATTCATTTCTGTTTGTCCAACTTCTGATAAAAGGGAACTCTCAATCTCGGACATATAAAATATTGAAGGAAATCTGTAAACCTCTTACTTTCAGTCAAATCTACCATTCTGAGAAGAATCTAGACCTCTCTGTACTTCAAAACCACAAATAAAAAGTAACGCAAAAATTTAATAATAATTAATTCCACCTTTTTTTTTTTTTTTTTTTTGCCTGGTCTGTCTCTAAATCAAATGTTTAGTGAGATATGTTTATCCACAGATCTGACCTGTATCTTCAGGTTTGATCACCATGAAGATATACACGTTTAATACCGTACTGCAAACAATCCAGACAAAGCAATAACAGCTCCATGGTGAAAAGCATTTAACGGACCCTTCACCAGAAAAGTTACACAATGCACCTTTAACCTGGGCAACAAGGCTTGATGGAAAACCACTGTTCAGGCGCATGGATTTTACCCATGTTTGTCGTCATTGGAAACACACTTTTTTTTATCTTTTCCCTTGTTGCCATAGCGCACATATAACCACTCTGCACCTCTTATCTACGAGAGATGGATCGGCCCATTAATGCGATTTGCTCTGATGAATTATTCACCACAGAAGATGAGTGAAGGGATGTAGGGTTATGAAAACAAACTAAAAACAGGAGAAACAAAGATGGCATGATGGGCAGTTTTCCCATCTACCTATAGCACTAAAGGAAGTAATAGTGCATACATGACAAGTCTCAAAAGAATAGGCTGCGTACAGAGGCTTATCTAGCTTGAGTGTGGTGTAGATTTGCATATTTGAATGCTCCTGAACTCTTGGTAACCTGCAATGCTATCGTTAAATGTCCTGTCTTTGCTTACATGGCTGCAAATTGACTTCTCAACACTTTCATTATGCGCAATTTCAGTTTTAATCTGGAGACAAAGCACTAACGGTTTGCCAAATTGTGCTTTCTTTCTTTCTTTTTTTAAAAGTTAATTTATGCAAAACACACTCTGCTCTCACAGCCTTTTATTTGAGCGTCACCTGTAGCACTGTCCTCCAGCTCAAGTTAACAGCTACCTTTTACCTTTTGTGCACTAGTGACTGGCAATTTTAGGGCTGAAATGATCCAAATGATTCTAGTGAAGGTGTGTGGAGTTTAAAAACACAGTGGAGCACTTTCTGTATTACCACATGACATCAAAAGGTGGAGCAGAGTGTTTTCAGTTTGAAAGATGAACTCAGAACAACTCAGAGCATGTTCGTGATGAGGAATTATAACATAGATTTACAACATGCACATTTTTTCTGTTGTATTGACATAATATAGTGTGAATATTGATTTTTGGTGATTTTTGGTGAGATTTGAATTTGTATTACATATTATGTTTACCTTTATGTTAAAGGTGCACTGTGTATTTTTTTTGGTGCGGGGTCCACCACCTGCTTGTCTCCATGTAAATGTTATTGTTTTG